TGAAGATATGATCCCATTCCACCGGCGGAACATCCTGATAATATATGAATCCACCGGCTCCAACTTTACGGCATATGTTTATCTCGGACTTTAATATATGAAACACGTGTACATCTGTTCCCAGGTGCATGTGGTACTTTATGTGCTTCTGCACATTCGTTGCATGTTCCGTTGGGAACAAAGAAAACATTTCCCCAGCAGCCAGAACATGGTTTTCCCAGCCGAGTAGAGTGGAAAAACAAAATAACCACGACTGGCCCTATTTGCGGAGTAAATGCAGGTGTTTGAAAAGAGAGAGGAAGAGGGAGTCAGGGGGTATAAACATGAAGTATTCCGCTTTGATGTAATGTGCTCTGTGTTTACATGATCTGTACCTCTTTGATGTTGTAACGGTAAGTGTTGGGACCGCAGTGTCAGGGTATTATCTGTTTCCGAAGGCATTACCTTCACCTCGCCGTGAGCAGCACCTTAAGAGAAAGGGTATCCTGAACACAAAATTTTGCCTGAACTCTGAGCAAACATTGTATTCAATTGCTTCAGATATGCTGGACTATCATGAATCGTAGCTTAGCAGAGAGTGTGCATGCTGCGTTCACATAGTTGGTGTTCGGGATTCAAATCTGGTGTGACTCTCAAATCATCCTGTTCATACTATGAACCCTCTTCACAGACTGTGATGACACATTCCTGCAGTTAAATGGTTAGTTCACTCAAAAACGAACATTCTGTCATTAATTACTCACCCTTATGTTGTTCCAAACCTAATGTCCTTACTACCTTTCTCGGCCTTGCATGTGGTAGTTGCATTGCTGTCTAGGCAGGGTCAGAGAGCTCTCGGATTTCATCAAAAATATTTTAATTTGTGTTCTGAAGATGAATGAAGGTCTAACTGGTTTGGAATGATATGAGGGTTAGTAATTAATAACATTTTCATTTACAGTGGGTACGGAAAGTATTCAGACCCCCTTAAATTTTTCACTTTTTGTTATATTGCAGTTATCCCTTTAATAACATCATACATTCTTAAAAATGAAGGTTCTTTATTGGCATCTAACGTTCCATGAAGAAACTTTAACATCTATGGAACCTTTCAAATGCACACAGGGTTCTTTATAATGGAACGTTTCTTTAGATTATTAAAATGTTCTTTACACTACCAAAAAAAACTGAAAGTTAAGAGTGTAAATCTAGCAATGTTTTTTACATTTTAATTGTTAAGAAGGGAGTAATGTCAAATTTGATATCGTTCTTTTTTCTGACTAACGTAATCAATACCTTTATATTTATTTTTTTTGACATTTTGTAGAAGTTTACCCGACTATGACAACTTCTGCTTCTGAGAACCCTGGAATTGTTAAAATATTTCATATCCATCTGTATGAACAAATAACCAAAGTCAAGCAGCTCTTCTGTTCTCAAGATAACCGTGAATATCACCTTTAACCACGACAGGAATTAAATACCAAACATAGTGACGTCCATAACTTTCTAAAGTCTTATTACAATGACACAACATTTAATTAATAGACGAGTCTAATAGAGGTGCGAGTTCATCTGTCAAATCTTAATTAACCAGCAGTGGCTTTGAATGCTGTAGAGCAAAACACAAAACGTATGATGCTGTATAGATGCAGCCATTGAGCCCTGGCACTTAAAATGTGAGATTGAATCTGATGAGCAACATTTACAAATGATGTTCCTCCTAATCTTGCTTTTACTCCTCAACTGTGTTGCTGCATGTAGATATCATTCTGCAAAAAATGACTTTTTAATAAGTTTTTAATTATTTGTTTTTTACTTGTTTTCTAGTAAAGAAATATCTAAAAATCCTTGAAACAGGATACATTTAGTGGAGAAGCAACATTGCATAAGATATGAAGATTTGTATTTTGTGTCTATTATGTCTTCCGGTCTTACTGCAGATATTTTTCACTTGTTGTTTTTTAAACATGTTTATACTTAAAAAAAGAAAAATCTGCCAGCGCAGAAAGATAAAACACACTTGTATTAAAAATACATTATCTGAAAACAAGTCTTAATATTGTGTGCAGTATTGTTTCCCAAATAAACTTCTTATTTCAAGAAATAACTTGAAATAAGATATTTTTTCAAGTATAAATCTCATTTCAATGACTTGACTTCAAAAAATTATTCTGTACAACACACACACACACACACAAAGCTGATTAGAAATGTCTATGTTGCTCTTTTGTCTATATAATGGACGTCAAATGTTGAACCTTCTTCAGAATATCTTTTGTGTTCCACAGAAGAAAGAAGTTTTCTTTTCTAAAAACTTAATTAATAGCATTATACTTAAAAAAACAAAACAGATACGAACAAGCCTATGTCCTTATCCTCACCTTCCTGCAGCAGTTTCAACCCATGCAGAACACAGCCAGATGTGTCGACCTCCCTTCATACCGCCTCCTCAGACACACCCTGCAGCCCTGCGGCATGAGGGGGATGTTCACGGAGCGGAATAAGAAGTGGCCAGACCTTACAGTGAACTCTGGACATGCTCTTCTGAAGAAACAGAGGAAGAGTAGGTATATTGTAAATATTCCGTCTGCTTACGGTTGGAGAAAAGGCCATTAAGACTTGGCAGGGGTTGGGGGTCAAGAGAGGCTTGGAGCGGCGAGAACCAAATATGGAAGCGTTTTGACATTTAAACAGAGATTGTTGTTTATAGAGAGAATATTTGGACCACAGGAAAAAAACAAAGCTGTCATAATTACTCACAGCAAAAAGTAATTGTGTGCCACAACTAGAAAACCTTGAACTTAATTCTCTGAGATAGTTTGTAAGAACACATCATTTAAATGTAAATAAAACATGTCATTTTAACAATAAGCCTGTTCCACCAAAAAACAAGTTCTTGCAACTGAATGAGCCACCTTAGAAATGATGTTGGGAAACATCATTTGATAGTATTGTGATGCAAATAACAGCTTTTTAAAATGCAGATACTATTTTGCACTCAGCAAATGACATATTTGTGACCATAAACAGTTTTAAAGGGAAGGAGATTTTAACAGATCTGAGTTTTGGACCTGCTCTAAAGCATCATTATACTTTTGGAGTTTTTATTTTAGACTTCTACTGAGTTTCGTAATTGCTGAAGCTTAAAAATGCTCTAAAAGTAGAGATTCATAAAGCGTAGACAATGTCGTTCCACCTAAAACAAGGTTGAAAATTGCTAGAGCTTATAAAACACTATAAAGCCTTGTAGTAATGTCCTCGCTGGAGAGAACATTTGATGTCTTGTTTGAATACTTTCATTTTGTGAAAATGGCCTTTTGCGGATCCCTCAAGTGTAAAGTGGCATGAACCTTTTCTCTAAAAGCTGTCAATTTTAGCAGTGTTTTGAAAACTCATCAATGGCACTTGTACAGTATGGTATAATCAGGATCCGTGAGAAATTAGTGTGTCAGTCTGGTGATTTCTTAGTAAAAATCCATGAAATGCAGGAGCTGTAGTATCAGTAGATACTAATGCTTTACATTATGGATCCCATGTTGCTAATAAATTGTTTTTAATTAATATAATTAACAACAACCACAACAACAACAATCACAGACAGTTCCACAACACAATTACATAAAAGTGTTGTTCATTATTTTTACTGGGCACTTCCATATGTAATTACACTGTAAAGCTTGCAGAAGTACTTAGGCTAGCCATGGGCACTCACCACTTATCATCGAAGGGCAGGGGAGAATGTTCTCTTTGATGGAGGAGGCTATAAGCAATAGGCCGCAGTGGGAAATTTGTCCAAGGTGCCAGGTTATCACCCTAGCTTTCCTGCAAGAAGTGCCCTGGATATTTTAATGATGACAAGAAAGTCAAGAAAGATTTCTCAGGTTATCTTTGCCCACACTTGCTTAGCCTCGACAGGTGTTACTGGCATCAGGCTCTGCTAAGTGCTTGTAGTCTGATATAGTAATATGATTTAGTACTTGATAAGGAACTAATGAAGTTTCTGTACAATTGCATGAAAATCTTTTTTTAAATGTATAGAAAAATGAAGTGTAGTTTCATTATTTGACAGGAAAGAGAATATAGAATCTAGAGAGAGAACCTAGAGAATACAGAGAGAGTGTTTTCATGAATCTTATTTCATAAATAATTTCAAAACACTTCAAATTTTAAACTAAAGAAATGTTATGTCATTAGAAGTGTTATTTCTGCATGTCTGCAATAACCTTTTTTTTCTCACGAAAGAGCTTTGATTTATGAGCAGTTGGTGATGTTTTCAATCTTTTTGGTGTAATGAGGACTCAACACACCACCAATGTGTTCCACTTGGATAATTCAGAGTCAACACATCAAAAATAGTCTGCAGAACAGCTAGCTGTAATGTAAATCAGGATTTGGTAAAGGTTGTGATTTGAAATTTCAAAACATTTTATTTTTTATAAATACAGCTAGTTATTGAGCCAGGATGGCAGTAGTGCAGCTACTTTGGTGCTTGTTTGTGGTCAATAAAATTTTAAAAATGTTTTTGAAAGAAGTCTGCTATGCTCACCTAGGTTGCATGCATTTGATCAGAAATCAGAATGAGAAAAAACAGTAATATTTTGAAATAATATTAGAAATGAAAATAACTCTATTTTTCTATTTGAATATCTTTTAAAATGTGTTCCTATGATGCAAAGCTGAATTTTCAGCATCAATACTCCAGTCTTCAGTGTCGCATGATTCTTCAGAAATCAAAGATTAGAAAGATTCCTCTTCAGGAACTCGAGCTGCGTCGGAGAACGCTTCGGGAACGCCTTCTGTGACCACGCTCTGAATCACAAATGAAGTCAGTCCAATAGCTGTGCGAGACGTCACAGGCAGGTGACGTCATGACCAGGAAGCTATAAAAGCATGTGAGGTGGAGCCGGTGTCAGCTTTCTGTCATTCAGCGAAGCGCTCTGTGTGTGTCAGTCATATTTATTGTTGTCTGTCAATTGTGAAAGTTCATAAGCTCCAGCTATGTCTAAAGCTCACGTTAAGACAAAGCATTCTAAGAGCGAGAGCAAGCCACGTTATAGGTTGTGTGTTCCTCCCTGCCCACATTACATCACGGGTGGGGATACACACAGCCTGTGCGTGGTTTGCTTGGGAGCGAAGCAATCAGAGTCGGCTCTCGAGGGGGCCAGCTGCCCGCATTGCGAGCGTCTCCCACTGCGTACCCTTCGCTCCCAGAGGGCTCTCTTTGAGGAGGGAGCCTTCGCCAGCGTTCCTCACGGTACTGGCCCCGCTTCCGTCGAGGCGGAGCGGCATCTGCATTTGTGGGGTTCGCAATTGGATCTGGCGGAGGGAATGGAGGCGGGCGAGTCCCTATCTCCTCCCCCGCCAGATCCAGCGCCCGATCTCTGGGTTCGGAAGCCCGTTCTGCGGCTACTTCCTCCCGGGGTGAGGGCTCGACGCTCCACCTGTCTTCCTCCGAGGAGGCTGATGTGGAGGGCGTCGAAGAGGTTTCGCCCCCTCAATCGCCCCAGTATGAGGAATGGATGATTCACCCCGAGGTGGTGAAGCAGATATGGAGAGTTTTTGGCCAGGCTCAGGGGGACCTGTTTGTGACTCAGATGACATCGCACTGTCCCCTCTGGTTCTCTCTGACTCATCCAGCTCCACTGTGGATGGATGCCATGGTACAGACATGGCCGAGGCTTCGTCTGTACGCCTTTCCCCCAATCGCTCTGCTCCCGGGAGTTCTGGAGAGAGTGCGCAGGGATGGAGTCTGTCTACTGTTAGTAGCCCCATTCTGGCCGGGCCGAGTATGGTTCTCGGACCTGATTTCCCTTCTCGACGGCTCTCCATGGGAGATTCCCGTCAGGAGGGACCTCCTCTCACAGGCGGAGGGCACGATATTTCACCCCCACCCGGAGCTGTGGAAGTTATGGGTGTGGCCCCCGAGGGGGCACAACTAGTAGCTTCTGGTCTCTCAACTGAGGTTGTTGAGACCATCCTCCAATCCAGAGCTCCCTCCACTAGGAAACTGTATGCCTTAAAGTGGAAACTTTTCACTTACTGGTGTAGAGACCGCCAGCTCGACCCAGCTAACTGCCCAGTCGGTACAGTACTGCAGGCCCGTTTCTCTACAGGGTTAACCCCCTCCACCCTGAAGGTCTACGTTGCGGCCATTGCGGCCTACCACACCCCTCTCAGTGGCCAGTCAGTAGGAAGACACCTGCTGGTTACACGTTTCCTCCGCGGTGCACTGAGGCTGAGGCCTCTCGTACGATCTCGCGTCGCCACGTGGGACCTGGCAGTGGTGCTAGAAGTTCTCTGTAAGCCTCAGTTCGAGCCAATTGAGGAGATTTCTGATCGCCACCTCACGATAAAGACTACCTTTCTTCTGGCGATATCTTCTTTCAAGAGAGTTGGGGATTTGCAGGCCCTATCTGTGGCCCCTTCCTATCTTAACTTTGCACCCGGTCTGGCCAAAGCGTTTCTGTACCCTCGAGTGGAGTATGTCCCTAAAGTCCCCTCATCTGCACCGCAGCCTATCGTACTCCAGGCCTTCAGTCCTCCTCCCTTCAGGGAGCCAGACCAGCAGAAGCTTAAATGTATGTGTCCAGTGCGAGCAGGTCACAGAAGGCGTTCCCGAAGCATTCTCCGACACAGCGTCTCGTTCCCTCGAGGAACCATGGTTACATATGTATCCTGAGACATTTTTTTTATTATCAATAATAAATAATTATTGTCCTCAATAATAATTAGGACTTCAACTAGAACTTTCTTTATGTTATGAATTTCCAAGGCTACGGAGCCCCTAAAAGGACATGGTGGGAGGAATAATTATTTTTCTAATCTTTTGCATTCCGCTGAGAAACTTTGCATTCACTCATATTCTGAGCTGTTCTGCTGGTCTGTAAATATATGCTTTATTAATAAGGTGTTCCCCTTCAGGAACTCGAGCTGCGTCGAGTCGCTTTGGGAACGTCCCTGCGTGACCGCGTTCTGAAGCACGTGTCAAATCAGTCCAATGGAGCAGTGAGACGTCACCAGCGGGGTGACGCAAACACCAGAAAGCATAAAAGTGCATCCAGCAGAGCGCAAACCAGCTTCTGCTCTTCAGTAGCGCTTTGTGTATGTGTCTGTCTATTTACTGTTGTCTGTCCGCACAAGCATATATAAAAAACAATCATGAAAAAGTCTATGGCGAGCGAACAGCATTACAGATGCTGTGTTTCTCCCTGCCCACGATATCTGGCGGCGTGGGATACACACGATTTGTGTGTCGTTTGTTTAGGAGCGGAGCATGCACGGTCAGCTTTCGAGCAGCTGATTGTCATTACTGCGAGTTGGATATTTTGTAATGGAAACAGGTCAATAATTTAGCTCAAAGGGAATCATTTAAGAGTTTAAAGGGAACTCCACCATTAATATGTAAGGGCATTTGGACAGAATCACTGTTTTACGGCTGATCACTGAGACGGCCAGCGATTCAGTGAACGAGCCGTATGACATCAATTCTGCAATGGATATCTATATCCAAAATATAGTGACAACACTATTAATTAGCATAGTAACAAGATTGGCAGTTTAAGACATTAACTTGTGAGCACAAAACACGAGATACTTCTCTTTTCAATATAAATAAGGCTTTATTGGATAAATCTAAGACATATAAACTAATCTAACACATGAACACACGCATTCACAGAAGTTGCAGATAGAGAGAAAGTGAGGAAATAATTGGTTTAAGAGAATGAAAATGTGAAATCCCAAGTTTACAGCAATATGTGCAATTGCATAGATCTGAACAACCATCAATCACTTAATTAACCCTCGCATTGAGTCCCTCAATTAGGTTAAAATTTATATTAAATGCACCAGTTCAGCTAGGATCTGGAGGTACTTGCTTTGCTGTGTGCGGGGTTTCCTTCCTTGTCTGGTTGCCGAAAGGGGTTTCCCGCGGTCGCTGACTGGCTGGAGGTTCAGTCTTGGGAAGCCAGTGATTGGGCGTTGGCTGGCGACGCGGAGGTTTGATGCCATGGTGCAGACGTGGCCGAGGCTTCATCTGTACGCTTTTCCAGTGATCTCTCTGCTCCTGGGAGTTCTAGAGAGGGTACGCCGGGATGGGGTCCGTCTGTTGCTAGTAGCCCCGTTCTGGCCGGCCCGAGTATGATTCTCGGACTTGGTGTCCCTCCTCGACGGCTCTCCGCTGGAGATTCCGATCAGGAGGGACCTCCTCTCTCAGGCGGGGTGCACCATTCTTCACCCCCGCCCAGAGTTATGAAAGCTGTGGGCATGGCCCCTGAGGGGGCACAGCTCCTCGCATCTGGTCTCTCAACTGAGGTTGTTGAGACTATACTCCAGTCCAGAGCTCCCGCCACTAGGAAACAGTACGCCTTGAAGTGGAAACTTTTTGCTTCATGGTGCGGACAGCGACTGCAGGACCCAGTCAACTGCCCAATTGGTACAGTTCTGGAGTTTCTGCAGGAGCGATTCTCCGCAGGGTTATCTCCCTCCGCTCTGAAGGTATACGTGGCGGCCTTAGCTGCTTACCACGAAGCTGGTTTGCGCTCTGCTGGATGCGCTTTTATGCTTTCTGGTGCTTGCGTCACCCCGCTGGTGATGTCTCGCTGCTCCATTGGACTGATTTGACACGTGCTTCAGAACGCAGTCACGCAGCGGCATTTCCAAAGCGACTCGACGCAGCGTCTCGTTCCCTCGGGGAACCATGGTTACATACGTAACCTAGAGACGTTTTTCTGAATTTGGTCTTCCAATGTCACTGTTTTAGTACATTATGAATGTCCCAAAGCGAAAAAGTTTTGCGAGTGATTGCAATGTTTCTCTGGGAACACAAAAGTTTTGCGAGAGAATGTAAAAGATTTTTAAAATAATTTTTCCTCTCATCCCCTATTTTTTTCCACCACTATGTCCCTTTAGGGGCTCCGTACTAAGGCAATATTTACACACATGTATATATATATACATGTTTGTTTATTGTGTGTGTGTGTGTGTGTGTGTGAGAGAGAGAGAGAGAGAGAGAGAGAGAGAGAAAAAATGGGATTGGAAAATAAATGTTCCAAGTCTTGTTTGTGGCAAAATTTTCCGTTGTTGTGAATAAGCCCAAGTCAGTCTTAGTCAGGAGCGCTCTCATCCAAGTCCCTGTCAGGCCCACACAGCTTAACTGTAGTGAATTACCAGAGACGAGTTGCAGGCGAAGTGTGTTCAAGCTTTTGTTTATTTAAAAAACATCTTTTTGACAGAGCTTCACAACAGGCCGACAGTGGTGTCTAAACGTCAACTTGTGTTGCATTGTGCATCTGACTGACAGATCTCATTCACACTCTGCTGCTCGTTTCCCCAGGTGTTTTTCAATACCCATTCTGAGCAGGAAAGTGGGCCACTTACCTGGACGCTTCACAGCACGAGTGTATTCACCTGTTCACATCGGCGTGGCTGCCTTTAAGGCCCAGGTGTGAAAACGTCTCAAGGACGCATGATAAAAAAAAAACTCAGCGTCCACGCTCAGGGCCTCGGGGCTGCACGCCAGCCCAAACCCAATCACGACGATGCTCCACTTTTGAGGATTCTTCCTTCCATGGCTTTGTTTGCGCTAAGTACAGTGTGACAGGCAAAGAGGCTTAATAAAAAGGAAAGCAGATTGAGGGAATGACAGACCTGACAGGAGTTAATGGGCTGGTGATAAAAAGAAATGTAGAGCAGAAACAAACTGTCGTTTTAACCTAATTTAAATGTACTTCTTCCCTTTCACTGTTATTCCCAAAGGGGTCACAAATGCACGACTCGGTTGCCTGGATACATGGCGGAGCAGATTCTGCCAACTAAAATGATTGTGTACAAAATAAGCAAATCGCTCAAACTGATTTGTGATATTAATTCAGTGCATGTCAGGCTTGATTCCGTTTGGAAAAGGTCACATTCATTCTTCTGCTTTTCAGCATTGTTGCTCCTTGTTTATTTCTCTAAATAAAGATCTCTGAGCAAGCGAGGATTTGTAAATGTATCGGCCCACGTTTGCGGCGGCTTCTTGTCTCAGCA